CGGGGAAGCACTGCCATGTGATCGCAACGGAGCCGGCGGTGTCACCCACCCAAAGAGGGTGGTCTCTCACCACGTATGGCTCCGCTACGATCGACAGCCCCACCCGGTGCTCCATTAGGTGCTGGACCAAGAGGTCCTGTGCCCTTCTGGGGCGGCCCAGATTGGTCTGGAGGACTATGAACGTTCAACGTCCATAGCCCCCTCCGGACCTTCCCCCTCTGCTACGAGCGTGGCGGTGGAAGCGGCAATTGTCGGATCTATGTCCGCCAACTGCATGGCCTCCACCCTCACGCTCTCCCCCTGGGGTTGGGACCCTGTGGGGCCCCCTCCCGTCCCTGTCCCCGATGACTCCGTGCCGCCCGCGGTCCCGGAAGCCCCGGTAGGCGTAGACGGCGGCGTCGCGTTAACAACGCCAGTGGGGCCGGAAGGGCTCCCACCGGTACTAGCGGTAGCGCCGGCGCTACCGTCCCCTACGGAGGGTGCAGCGGCCGCTGCCGCCCGCTCCCTCTTGCGACGCCGCCGCTGCGCGGACCGGGACTTCCCGGTGCCGTGGGCAGCCGCACACGCCGTTCCACCCATTCGGTGGACGGCGTCCAACCCCTTTTCCGTACAGAGAAGGCATTTCGGGGCCTCTCTGCAGGATGCCGCGCGATGGTCGGCGGAGCCGCACCTAAAGCAGCGGTCTCCCCGCTCGACCGCGGCAGTGCACCGCAGCCTCACGTGATATTAAGTCTACTACTTCAGTTGAGGCAACTTTGATCTAAGTGTTTCAGCTTTGGAAATATTATCTCTTGTTAGTATTATTTCTTATAAACTCTTAAACTTTCAACCTCTCGTTGTCTATTTCTGCTCGGTTGCATCAATTTCTAATAGAATATGCAATGTTTGTGTGTATCTTAAATATTCTTGGGCACGGCTTCTAAGATACTCCATAGATATTTTCGCTTTCTTACTATATTTTCCACTTATAAGAGTATTAATTTAATGCCAGGGATCACAGGCTATCTCTAATCTTCAAATTTCGATGCATCCTTGCAGCGATTGGGAGTTGTTCATTGTTCATGTTCCAAGTTTTTCGTTTATAACTCTCGAGAGAATGGAATGGCTTCTCGCGAAGTAATTTAACACATGTCTAGAGGTTCGGTCTCCGCTGGAGCACTGTTCTTGTCTGCGAGACGGTTCTCATTGAGAACATAATTACTTGCGCGTATAAGTATTAAACCATTAGGAAAATTTCCCTTAGTTAATTCGCCAATAAAAAAACTCTTAGTTCTGAAAGTCGTCGCTGCAACTCTCACAACTCACTGTCGAAAGGCACGTAGTAGTACAGTAAAAAAACAAGTAGTCAAGTAGTGAACAACAAGGTTCCATAGAACCAAAAACAAGCTATCATTATTCATTTATGAAATATATAGTCCACTTTTAAAATACAAAGATTAGTTGTAACATTTGAAGTTTACATCCAAAGCGAATCATTTCGCGCAATGAAGAAAAGTGTAGTGCCGTGCCTTATACTGTAAATTTTATTAGTTATTCTTTTTTTTTAATTATATAATACAATTATTTGCATAGTTTAGTTATATTATAATTTATTACCATATTAGATTTATATTAATTGCAACTAATATAGGCCACTGTAATTACTTCTACGGTTTTATTTAAGGATAACAGAAATAATTTGAGGTATGTTTCATTTTTTTCTTAGATAAAATAATTTCGTTCATAAAAGCTCATGTTATTATATGGCTTCAGTTTTGTTGGCGAATATTACTTCAAAAACGAAGCTATTTTTCCATATATGCCATAATGAAAAGAATATAAGCAAAAAAACAATTGCTGCTTCTAATTTCATCTTTAACGCAATTAAAGAGTCGAATATTTCTGCTGAGCATGAAAAACTAATAAAAGAGAAGACTTGTGTATTTTGTAAAAATTGGTTTATGAATTGGAAAAATTGTCATCATGTAATTAAAAAATTTTTGATTAAACGCTGTGAATGGTTGAGGGGTTATTTCAAAATCCCGAAGTATAAAAATATAAAACCGGAAGAAATCGAATCTAAAGCATCAACATCTACAACACCTGGACGTCCTTGATTGATATACAAAAAATTCAACACGGTTACAAATAAGAGAAGCAGCAGTCCTTTTTATAGAAATGGGGGAAGATTTAGATTTAATGGTCGCCGCAACGATTGTGACAGCAAAGAAAAGAGGTAGCAATGACTTAGTTACTGTTCTTAATGAAACTGTAAAAAATCATGAACTGAGGGAAAAAAATAGAAAAGCTTCTTTCCACGGACGGTGAAACGCTTATTTTTTTTCTTCGATGAAGCCTTTACATTTTCACATGCTAAGTGATTCAGCAAATGACAATACATTAGTATTCCAGTAGAATGTAAAAACAGAAACTGTAATATATTACCAAAATATGACAACCTTGTTGAAGCGAAAAAATTGCATACCGAGAGAAATTAGTGTGCCAGAAACAGTTGCTAAAGTTTCATGTATGAATCTTCTGCAACAAATAATTGAAAGAATAGTGCATATTCAAACAGATATAATTAAGAATATATTTGCTCAAATATAAACATAAAGTAAAGTATAAACATAATTACGATAACAACATTAATCCAATGTTGTCCTATATGTGGTGCAATAGCGCAGCAGATATTGAAAAATGATTGCGAATCAGAAGAATTTGCTTGAAAAGCAATTTAAAGTATGAAATTAGTCCGCTATTCGAGTGGATAAACTTATTTGAATATGTTATCCAGATTGGATACAGGATAGGCATAAATAAATGGAAAATAAGATTATTGAAAGAGATAAAAACAATGTTTTTCTGGAAAAAATGAAATACATGATTCGTTTTGGAATAGATGGCTTAGACATGGACCAGCCATAATCTGGAAGTCATAATACCACAGATGGTAATACTCGGCTACAGAGATTGGATAATGTCAACTCAACTATAGGATCTCCAAATGACCCACATACGAAAGATTTTGAAGGGAAACAAAGAGAAGTCTAAAATAAAACATTATTTTAAGGAATACGAGTTAAAGAATAGTAAGGTGC